CCAGGCCCCTGTCAGTGGCGGGTGGCTCCCACCACTGGCTCGGCAGGGGTCCTCCCCGCTACGCGCCGAGCCTTCAGGGGCTTTTCCAGCTCCCTGCCCTGGGTCGCTTCCTACCCCCTTCCCCCGGCCGGCAGCGGTCCCACCTGTTGGCATTGGTCGGGTGGCTGTAATGTCACTTCCCCCGTCAGCGTTGGGGTTGGCAGTGTCCAGCTCGGTGCCTGGGTCCCGGGGTGTCGGCTGGCGGCTCCTTCGTTGGGGACGGGCCCAGCTTGGGCCTAGCAGCAGCGCGTTCAGCCGTCCCGTCGACTCCCTCCTCGGCAGTTGGGTGCTCCCTCCACCTCTAGCCATAGTCTGCCCCTTCTGAGCAGGCCAGCAGCCTTTTATACCTATGCTCCCCTTGGAGCATGCCCAGTAGGGCTGTGTGGGTGGGGCCCTCTCAGCCCCCGGCACCAGGTGGTTTCTCTGGGCTTGAGTGCGGGGCGGGGCTGCCCCGTCACAGGCCCTAACTGACTCAAAACAGGTTCCCCTCCCTTCTCATAAATAAAGACAATGCTGGAACTTTTTGTGTTTGACATAATATTTTATTTAAAAATGAAGCCTAGTTTAGTTTTTGTGGCCAACAAACTCCCAATTGGGGCCAAGCCCCCATGTGACTGCAGCATCATAACACTCCTGCACACACACTTCCAGACAGTAGATCTGAGCCTATCATACACTGGAACCCCCTGTCTTGAGTCTCTCACATCCCCAAACTCCTGCACCCCCACATCCTCAGTCTTCTGCCACAACACTCCTACACCATCCACACACTGCAAATCTGTGTCCTGAGCCCATCATACTCCCAACCTCCCTGTGCTGAGCCCCTTACGCACCCCAACCCAAACTCCTGCACCCTCACATCCACAAGCCTGTGGCTTGCTCAGTACCCCAACTCTTCACCTGACCCCAATACTCCCTGGGGCCTGGAGCCCCTTCCCCGAGCCAGAATCCCCTTCTCCATCTCCTCCTGCATCCAAATTTCCTCCCAGAACTTGCACCTCTCACCCCTTCCCACACCCCACCCATCCTGCCTCAACCCAGTGAGGGTATGGCTAGACTGCAGGACTTTTTCTGGGATTCCAGAGGTATCCCGGAAAAATTCTTCTCTGTCCAGGGACGTGTTTGTTCTTTCGCTTTTTTTAGTGGAAGAGAAACATGTTATTATGGTAAACCCTGTATTTCTCGTTCCATGAGGAATAAGGAGGCTTCTGAAAGAAGGGTTTTTTTCTGACATTTGGTCCAGTCTAGATAGGCCAGATGTTGGAAAAACCTCTTCTTATAGAAGAATTAAAAAAAATAAAAAGTGGAAGTGTAGCCATACGCTGAGAGAGTATAAGGCCTGGGGATAGCAAATGATAGAGAGGAGGAGAATAGAGAGGGCAGGGCTTCAAGGAAGAGGTGGGGTGTTGGGGGAAGCATGGGGCGGTAGATCTTGGCTTGTTCTGACATTTAAAAAGTGATTTTGGATGTAAAAAGGTTGGAGACCACTGGTATAGAGATTCTTAACTATGGGCTGATGTGGTTCAGTAAACAAATTGTGGTGTATGATCTGTACAACTGCCTAGATAGCACCTTAATTCCTACTAACAAGTTACCTTTTTTTCTTGTTCAAAAAACTATAACCTTCAATGGCAAAATACTACACCAATGCAAAGTTGCTTGGGGTATGTCATCTCCTTGCAGAATGCTGAGCTCAGCAAAACTCAAACTTCTGAAAACCTGGAAATGCAGAGCTAAGGTGGCTCCGGCAACTTTAACTCTTCTGTCTTTCAGCATTGTTCCACTATGTCCCATTAACACACATAGCTTTGGTGGTGATCCTTTTTGTATAGACTCCTTTAGTTGTTGCAGCCACTGATGGCTCCGTTTCTTTAGCATTCTTATATTTCCTCAAGACACAACTGACCTATTATTAGTGCATGCATTGGCAATAGACTCTTAAATGTTATTTATTTTTCTCCCTCCCCCCCCCCGCCTATTTTTTTTAATAAAGTGTGCCCTTACATGCCGTGCTTTTTTTTTTTTTTTATGTTGACCTTGGAAGAGGACAATCAAATATGATGCTATTGTTTTGCAGAAACGAGGAGTCCACAGGCACCTTAAACTCTAGGATGAGAAAAATAGTGCTGATAGCATAGGGTTTGAGGAGTCTTTAAAGTGCCACAGTACTCCTTGGTTGTTTGGTTGTTTGTTTGGTTGGGTTTTTTTTTTTTTTTTTTTTTTTTGCAGATACAGACTAACACAGCTACCCTTCTGAGATTTGCTGTTATTTTTATAAGACATTGAAATCTGACAAGCAACAGCTTTATATGCATGTTGTATCAAAACTTTTTTCCAGGCAGAATGACATAAGAGCACATTTTGGAAAACAGAAATTTCTTTGGCCCTAGTCCTTCTTCCATTGAAGTTAAGAGGCAATTTGCCATTGACTTCAGCGAGAGCAGGATCCATTCCTTTTCTCATCTTTACCTTGAACTTATTCCTTCTTTTGATTAAATATCCATGCAAAACATTGCAACTAGATATATGCATTGCAGATTCACTATGGGCAAATTGAAAACTTTCTGTACTTTGTCCCTTTTAGAGAAAACATTTTTCGGTAGTATAAACCCAAAATATTTAGTTTTTGTGGAGAATTTTTTAATTACAAACAATATTTAATGTTAGAATTTTTTTACATATAAATAAGATAGCTCAAATATTCATGTTGGTGTTTACAATCCAAATATAGCAGTGCTCTCCTAGTTCATGAGAACCAGAAAGCAAAGTGGACTCAAAACTTTAATGAAATTGATCAGTCCAAGCTGAGTGACATGCCACAGTGAACCATATATTGGGCTTTGATCTTGCATAAAATTCTGCACATGCAGAGAGCCCAGTACTCACATTGAGCTTAGTATCAGGCCACAGTTTATGTAACTTCTACTAAGTATGTTTTAACGAACTTAATTTAGTAACAACTGGTCTGTGAGGCATGATCTGCTGTGTGTTTTGCTGCAAAGACCAGGTATACCATTTCAGACAGCAGTCAGGAGTGTTAATCTCTTATGGGGGGAAAGAAAGGGGTTTGCTAATAAAACATAACACTGAAAAGCCATGCAGCAACTGATTCTGCTAAAATAGCTTAAGGCACAAGTGTTGGGTGGGAGGGAGTATTTTCATAAGGACACAAAGTAACTTGGTCTAAATACCAGGATTTCACCTCCTCTTAGCTGGCAGCTGCAGGAGAGAAAAGATTGGGAATGCGGGCAGGGGAAGTTGGGGAGAGAATAACACTTTTTTTTTAATTATTTTATGAACACAGCAACATTCCCTTTCTAATCAAATCAGTTGATAAATGTAGACATTGTTTCAACTATTTGTGAGTGCATATTGAAAGACACACTTGCCTGTCCAATGTGCTACCCTGTGTATATCAATCATGGTTTTTAAATGACTTTGGGAATTAACTTGCGTGTGAAAGGTGCTGTGTAATCAAATACCATGTATATGTGTAATAGATCCCATCATCTGATGAGCCAGCTCTTTATACTTCAAAAATTCTATCTTGTTCGAATAGAACTGTCCCAAGAGCACAGTAGGAGGGACACAGATTATCCAAAATAAAGGGTAGGTATTGCCATTGATATGTGTCTTCTTTTTGGTTCCCCAAATGTTACCAAACTACTTGATTTTTATCCTGGTCTGCCAATGTAAAGAAAATACTAAATTTACATCTTGGGAGAAAGATCAGGGAACCTCATTTGTCATGCTGAGAAAAAGCCCAAGGGAAGTTCAGAGGTTATCTACATACTGTGGCTCAGCGTGTGATGGAAAAGACATTGGCACATATTCTTGTATTCAGCTCTCTGGGGTGCTTGAATTACATTGGCTTTCACTCCTACAAATTAAATCACTGGAGTAAGAGCAAACAGTTTTTCTAATTGTGTGGCTTTTATATTATCTGCTCTATAGCTATAGTTCTTTTAATGTGCCTGATGTGTAAATCCTCTTTGACATGTAGAATATTAAAAAGGAAGTTCAGCAGTAGTTTGAGTTATATTCAGTTTTATTGTGTAATTTCATCAGTGCTCACAGAATCTAATCAGGAGTTAGGTTTTATTAATATATAACTCCTGATTTAAAATTAACATTTGATCTTTTAAAAAGTATTTTGGCAGCTTGAAACAGAAATTCAGTATATGAACTCTTGGTTACAACAGGGTCTTTATTGGTGGTTGGGTAAAAGAAAACTTTAATTCAGAGGAAGATTTTTTAAAAGCTCTTAAAAGTCAATGGGTCTGGTGCCCCTAAGTCACTTAGGGTCTTTTGAAAAACTCTCTTCCTCAAACAGTGGGAGAGACCAAAATATTCTAGGCACTGTCCAAATAGAGATTGAGACAATCCCTATGTCAAAGAATTTACTGGCTATGAGGAATTTCTCCTCTTTTCCCTCTCCCCAAGGCACTTGAGTGGATGTAGATCCTCTCCATGCTGTTGCTACAGTCTTGGGGTGCGGAATTCTCAGGGACTGTTGCAGTACATATCCCTTGCTTGAATGCAGAGGAGATTTACCATGCAGGTGCATAGTGCTCACCCACATAAATCCCTCAAACTCATGTGTGCTAATGCAGATGAAGCCTTTGTTGCACACTGGGCAAACCCATTGCAGCAGATTTTCTATACCCTACCCATTTTCTATACCACATAGTAGAAAATGGTTCTGCTGCATATAGGACCTTCTGCACTGGCTGGGTGGTGAGCGGGCAGGACTAGTTCTGTAAAGACTCGGGAGTATTTTCAAATAACAAAATGTTAAGCTTTTGTGCTTATTATTGTTGATATTCACCACAATACTTTGCACTTTCATAGTGTAATTTATCTACGTAATACATCAAAATTATTAAGCTTTACTACCCCTCTCTGAGGTAAGTAAAATCATTTTAATGACCAATAGACTTAAGCACAGGTGGATTCTGTGTTTCACCTATGATTATGTATTAAGTCATTGGTGGAGCTGGAAATAAAAGCCAGGAGTCCTGACTCCGAATTTTCTGTTTAGTGCTCTATTTCCTCTCAAGTGTGTTCAACTTCACAAGAGGCAGAAAGTGAAATATGATGTTTGGACAAATAACAAATTACTGTGTCAACCTGGGTACTCAGGTTATAAAACATGTGAGCTATTTTGTATATACAAAATATTTGTTTTTCAGTTGTTTGTGCTTTTTAGTCATTGGCCTTACTTTCCTTCTAAGGATAACAGAGAAGAAAATATGCTTGTATTCAACAGAATTGTTATCAAAGATGAGAGAATCTTGGGCATCTTTTTAATAAAGTTTAAAAAAAAAGAATTAAAGTATAT